AACTTTGACCGCTTCACCTCCACACGCGCCACCTCGCCGGAGAAAATGAGGACATCGGTGGACTCAGAACGGCACAAGGAACACGATGGTATGGGAGGTGTCGAAAACGGAGCAACGATTGGCGATGAATTTAGGATTTTCTAGGCAGTTGTGCTAAAAAACATCGAGGCTTTGACTTGAAATTCACGTCGCTTGGCAGCGTTTCACCTCAATTAATTTAAGGGAATTGTTCCTGACTCGATAACGAACACGATGGTGGTTTCAAAACGATGATCAGAATTCGGACGGCGTCGGGATCGTTGCCAGAAGTTGACGTTGGGGGAAGGAAATTTAGGAGCAATTGGTTTCTGATTTTTCAGAAACCAATTGCCGTATATAATACCATACCTCACAAACTTTTCTTGGGTAAATTCAGGGCTTGGTCCCTAAATTTTCTTTAACTCTAAAACAAGCTACAAGTTTTAAAACCTTTCAATTTAGTCCCCAAAATTTATCAATTTTCACAATCAGGAATCTTAATTGACTGTAAGAATCCAGATGAATAATGGTGCTCTGCTTTAACCTGCTGACAAGTCAAACACATCGCCACAAAATCTGAAATATTTTTCTTCATACCAGTCCAAAAGTAGCGTTCTTTGAGATTATTGTACATTTTGTCCCCGCCAGGATGCATAGCATAAGGACTACTATGAGCCTCCTGAAGAATAACCTGTCTCAACTTATCATCTTTAGGGACGCAGAAACGACCGTGAAAACACAAAATACCATCATGATCTACAGTATACTCCGAACTCGATCCCTGCTTAACTTGTTCAATAATGGGAAGAAATGAGCTGTCAAGGAGCTGTTTGGCCTTAATCTTCTCGGCCAAAGTAGGTTTAACCTGTAACTCTGCTAACAGACTGTTATCATCAAATAAACTCAATTTGGCGAATAAGGCTCTGAGATCTGATATCGCCTTACGGCTCAAGGCGTCTGCCACTACATTAGCCTTCCCTGGATGATATTCTATCTTGAAATCATAGTCCTTTAGAAGTTCCAACCAGCGACGCTGTCTCAAATTCAATTATTTATGGGTAAGCAGATACTTCAGACTCTTATGATCAGTATAGATATAACACTTTTCTCCGTAGAGATAGTGTCTCCAGATCTTTAAAGCAAAAACCACAGCAGCTAACTCCAGATCGTGAGTAGGATAATTACGCTCGTGCGACTTTAATTGACGCGAAGCATAAGCGACAACCTTCCCATCTTGCATCAAAACATATCCTAATCCAGAGTGAGAAGCATCACTATAGACAGAAATATATTAACCTCGTGCAAAGCTTTCCAGAACCTGGAAGTGAATCTCGGATCTCGATCAGATATGATAGACAACGGAACACCATGAAGTCTAACGATCTCATAAATGTACAACTTAACTAGTTTTTCCAGAGAATAATTAACCCAAATAGGGATAAAGTACGCTAACTTGGTGAGTCGATCAACAATCACCCAGATAAAATTCTTTTTGGAAGGAGTCAGAGGAAGACCAGTAATGAAGTTTATCGTAATGCGCTCTCATTTCCACCCAGGAATCTTAATTGACTGTAAGAATCCAGATGAATAATGGTGCGCTGCTTTAACCTGCTGACAAGTCAAACACATCGCCACAAAATCTGAAATATTTTTCTTCATACCAGTCCAAAAGTAGCGTTCTTTGAGATTATTGTACATTTTGTCCCCGCCAGGATGCATAGCATAAGGACTACTATGAGCCTCCTGAAGAATAACCCGTCTCAACTTATCATCTTTAGGGACGCAGTAACGACCGTGAAAACACAAAATACCATCATGATCTACAGTATACTCCGAACTCGATCCCTGCTTAACTTGTTCAATAATGGGAAGAAATGAGCTGTCAAGGAGCTGTTTGGCCTTAATCTTCTCGGCCAAAGTAGGTTTAACCTGTAACTCTGCTAACAGACTGTTATCATCAAATAAACTCAATTTGGCGAATAAGGCTCTGAGATCTGATATCGCCTTACGGCTCAAGGCGTCTGCCACTACATTAGCCTTCCCTGGATGATATTCTATCTCGAAATCATAGTCCTTTAGAAGTTCCAACCAGCGACGCTGTCTCAAATTCAATTATTTATGGGTAAGCAGATACTTCAGACTCTTATGATCAGTATAGATATAACACTTTTCTCCGTAGAGATAGTGTCTCCAGATCTTTAAAGCAAAAACCACAGCAGCTAACTCCAGATCGTGAGTAGGATAATTACGCTCGTGCGACTTTAATTGACGCGAAGCATAAGCGACAACCTTCCCATCTTGCATCAAAACATATCCTAATCCAGAGTGAGAAGCATCACTATAGACAGAAATATATTTCCCTGATTCAGGCTGAATCAACACTTGGCTTGAGTTAGAACAGTCTTCAGTTTCTCAAAGCTAGCTTGTTGGTCCTCAGACCAGACAAATGGAACATCATTCCTCAATAGTTTCGTCAGAGGAGCTGCAATAAGGGAGAACCCATTTACAAAACGACGGTAGTAACCAGCTAAGCCCAAGAAACTACGGATCTCATAAATGTTCCTGGGTTGCTTCCAGTTCAAAATAGCCTCCACTTTGCTTGGATCCACCCGAATACCATCAGCAGAAACGATATGTCCAAGAAAAGTCACTTCGCTGAGCCAAAATTCACACTTTCTCAACTTAGCGTATAACTTATTCTCTCTTAGAGTCTGTAGAACAATCCTTAGATGCTCTTCATGTTCTGCCTCACTTCTAGAATACACCATATGTCATCAATGAATACAACTACAAACTAGTCCAAATAGGTTGAAACCCTATGCATCAGATCCATAAAAGCACAGGGCATTTGTTAACCCGAATGACATCACTAAAAACTCATAATGCCCAAACCGATACGGAAAGTAGTCTTCGGAATATCCGAGTATTTCACTTTGAGTTGATAATAACCAGACCTCAAGTCTATTTTTGAAAAGATAGAACCCCTCGAAATTGGTCAAATAGATCATCGATCATAGGCAGAGGATATTTGTTTTTAACCGTGAGCTTGTTCAGTTTCCTATAAATCAATACAGAGTCTCAATGTCCCATCTTTCTTCTTGACAAAGAGAGCTGGGGCTCCCCACGGTGATACACTGGGGGATAAATATGTATGGCTGAAGAATGGCCACAGGCCTGACACTTGCACCACCTCTCTGAAAGGATTCACCACTGCCTCTCTTGTTGGGGTGTGCAGAAGAATCTACAGAACCAGAAGGCCTCCTGAATCGGGTTTGAGTTCGATCACTAGCTCTCTTGTGCTTCATACCCAAACGCTCTATTTCCTCAGCAGTCTTGGCTATCTTAACCAATGCATCAAAATTCCTCTCTCGGTGGGTAGCGACTCGACTCCTGATCTCATACCTGAGTCCATTCTCGAACTTCAAGCATCGATCTATCTCAGTGTCCACAAGTCCAGGAGCATAACGGCTCAATCAGATGAACTCAACCTCGTAGTCCATAACAGACATGCTACCCTGCTCCAGATTATGAAACTCTTGACATCGCTCCTGCAGGTATCTCTCTCTGATGTAGCGACTCCGGAAGCGCGTCTTGGAAAGATCTCATGTTAACTGGTTTCTCGGAATACTATCAGAGATTGATTGCCACCATCTGAAGCTCTCTTTCTTTAACATAGTTAGTCTGTCGGGGTCCACCAGTAATACCCTGGAATGAGACTACACCAGCATCGACCAAAGAGTTTGAAATCTCAACTGCAGTCATATTATTAAGGGCTCTGGCAGCTCTCTGAAACATGCAGAATATAGCTCTATTAAGGGCATATTCATTTATGTCAGTATCATCATCTCTAGTGACGGGAGGATCTCTCACATAAGTAAACTGATCATCATGAGAAAGGGTATGATCTACTTGTGGAACAGGAGGATCACGTAGAGACATCGGATCATCTATCGTAACAGAAGGTCGAGTGACTCGTCCTCGACCACGACCACATCCTGTTCTACGACCTCTAGCAACACTTATTGTTGGATCTATAAGGCTCTATAGAAAGAATTCAAAACATATGTCAGATTAGCATCAGAGATCTCGAGAAAACTTTAAATCATATAATATGGTGACATTTTTTTTCTTCAAAATTTCTTAAAAATCCAAAGCTTATGACCCATATATAGTCCGAGTGTTTAAAATCGAAAGCTCAAATACCACCAAATGTAACCCCCTAGACCCGATCTATAAGTTAGACTCAAACCTAAGTGGTTGCATATCCCATTCAGAGATTTTTTTTAAACAACTTATAAAATATTACAGGTAATACTAAACCAAATATCGATAATACAAATATATCCAAAACGATAGAGTAATACATGTCACCAAACACAACTGAAAAACATATAGAGATATACGTTCGTACAAAATAAGTAGTTGATTTCCCCTGATGCCAAATCTGCCAGCTTACGGTATGTTGTTATCTGAAAAAGGTAAAAACCATAAAATGAGCTAAAAAGTCTAGTGTGCCCCTTATAGTGTATACACATACATAACAAAATAATTCAGATAAGATAAAATAATTTATCAAATATATTTTAATAATATCCACACTACCCCCATCCAATCACCAAAATGTATAGGTTCACCTGAACCGTACACCACCTATACACCAGTAAGGCTTAACATGTGCACAAAGCAGAGGAGCCTAGGAAAACTGTAAGGTTTATCATTGCACACAGCAAAGGGACCTGAGAAACTGTAAGGCTTACCCTTGCACACAGCAAAGGGACCTGGTAAACTGTAAGGCTTATCTTCGCACACAGCAAAGGGACCTGGGAAACTATAAGGCTAACCTTCGCACATAGCAAAGGGACCTGGTAATACTTCCTTCAATTGTACCCCCAATGACAAAAATAAACATGTATGCATTGGAGTAAAAACGGTAATTAATCCATTAAATATGGAAATGTTCCATATTTAGAAATCATGTACAAAAATACTATAACTATAAACCATATAAAAATTATACGGTAAATCAGACATTAAATAAACCTTATTCCAAATACCGGATATTTCCTCATAAAATATATTATATTCTCATAATATAAACCAGTTCAGATATATAGTTTAAAACTGTATGATAACACTGTCAGGAAACACACCTGTAACAATCTGATAAATCAGATAGGGAAGCCTACTAATGGGTCTATCGATCATGCTCTGCTGCAACGCTAGATCCTACGAATTGGAAAAAATCCATATTAGAATCCTAATATAAATAATCTTAATCTTTATTTAAATAATATACGGAAACCTACGGGTAATTCTTGTAGTACGTGGTTCGGGCTGATCTAACGAACGGACAATTCCGGACCTAAGTGATCCTCGCTTAGGTGAAACACCAGTACCTTTATAAAATATTTTACTGAATCAATTTCTTAACCAAATCTCAAATAAATAATCAAAATACTAAAATACTAAGCCTTTTAAGGGTTCACATGCTCGATTCAGAGATTTCGGGTCAGAATTTGGCAAAACGGATTTCGGAATCAGATTCAGGACGTCGAAACACATAAAATATGACTTTCCGAAAATTTGAATTATTGGTCAAAATCAGAGTCAACGGGTTTGAATGACGATTTGAAGACTTTCGGGTTCGAGTTTGGTAAAACAGACCCCAAAAACGGATTCAGAACGTCAAAAATATCAAGATAGGTATTCTCGGAAAAGATTAACGGCCGTTGGTCAAAGTAGTCAACCATTTTAAGAAATTAACATTTTTTTAACATTACGTAAATAGAACCATTTTGAAATTAATTACCAAAATAGCATCTTTTCAAAATAATTACTAAAATATCACTCTTTTTAAAAATTTTACGAAATTATCACATTTTAAAAAAAAATACAAAATAGCACCCATTTTCAAATTAATTACCAGAATAGCACCATTTCCCAAATAATTACCCAACGGTCAACAGGTGGTCAACGGGTCGGGTCAACGAGTCGGGTCGGGTCGGGTCAAAACCGATCAAACATTGAAAAAACCCGATCAAACATGTCATTTTGAGCTTCCCCACGCGCAGTGGCTGCGCGTGGGATCGTTTCTGGCAGCGTAAAATTCACGGAAAAATTCCTAAAATTATTTTGAGCGATTTCGAGATACTTACAAAGCTCGGTTCAAATTTTTGAACGGCGGAGAGCTCGATTTCAACAAATCGGAAATTTTGACAGCTTCACCTCCACACGCGACGTTGCCGCCGGAGAAATGGAGGACACCAGTGGAGTCGGAACAGCACAAGGAACACGATGGTACGGGAGGTGTCGAAAACGGAGCAACGATCGACGATGAATTTAGGATTTTTTAGGTGGTTGTGCTAAAAAACGTCGAGGCTTTGACTTGAAATTCACGGCGTTTGGCAACGTTTCACCTCAATTAATTTAAGGGAATTGTTCCTGACTCGATAACGAACACGATGGTGGTTTCAAAACGACGATCGAAATTCAGACGACGACGTGATCGTTGTCGGAAGTTGATACCAAACCTCACCAACTTTTTTTGGGTAAATTAGGGCTTGGTCCCTGAATTTTCTTTAATTCTAAAACAAGCTACAAGTTTTAAAATCTTTCAATTTAGTCCTCAAAATTTATCAATTTTCACAATTAAAAACTCAAATTTAAATTAAATATTATTTTCAAATTTCCGGGTTGTTACAAGTTCTGAAGCCAAACCGAATGCAAACACATCATGTTTCTTCTTCTATCAAACATCCTTTGGTGAATTAACATTGGTTTTCTTGGCCATAACAATTGAGTCATATCTTGTGATTCTGATAAAATTTGATCAATTATTTCTGCAGATACTAATGCAGTTGGAAGAACAGAAAGAAGCTTTGACAGTTTGCAGATCAACGACTCCAGTGTATGAAAGTATGTTACCTTTCAACTTGAATTGTTGACAAGAAACAAATTAAAAACCTATTTTGTTGTCACTTGGCAATTTTCATCCAGTTTTTTTTTTAATCTTTTTATTCCTGTGCAAGTTTAGCAGCCAAATCTAGTGCTTTCAATTTACCTTTCTCATTCATCGCAGGAGTCTATCCAGGATATCATCCTTTTCTAGGTGGAGAAGAAAAGTATATTAAAAAGGGTAAATTAGAACTTTGTACCTAAATTACTTTGAATTTATAAAATGGTCCATAAGTAGTATTTTATCTAAAGTTCATGGGTTAAAGTAAACATTAAACCATTTACTAACATGTCACATCATCAAACTAAAGGAATACAACGTTTCAGTGACCACATCTTAATTAAAATATTATGAAAGTGACTATATATTATGTTTTTTGAATTCAGTGACAATAAATTTATAAAACTCAAACGAAAGACACTAAATATATAGTTTACCCAAATAATGATTAATTGAAAAAAACACATTTGATTAATTGAATTCAGATTTTAAAATATGGGATGTTACAATCAAAGTATGTCATTTTTCAATGTGAGAAACTCGACTTTTTACTCAAATATCACTAAAATAAAAATTAACTAAGAAAAATTCACTCGTTTTAGATTATTTTTAACATTGACACATTTTTTGCCACGTAAGATAAAGTTGTGTATCGTGGAAAGTGGTTTCTAGGAGGCTTTTTTTTTAGCAACGAAGGAATTTTATCCAAAAAATAAAGAGAAGGAATTTTGTCCAAAAAGAATAAATGTGTTTACTCATATATCACTAAAATAAAAATTAACTAAGAAAATAACACTCGTTTTGTATTATTTTTCACATTGACACATTTTTTTGCCACGTAAGATAAAAGTGCGTTTTGTGGAAAGTGGTTTTAAGAGGCATTTTTTTGTAGAAACGAAAGAATTTTATCAAAAAAATAAAGAGGGAATTTTGTCCCAAAATAAGTAAATAAATGTGTGTTTGCCCAAAAGGAATAAACGTGTGTGTTGCGTGTCAAAGACACGTACGAGCAAGAGCATGAGCTAGGTCAGGTGGTGGCGACAACACACTTGTATTAGGATTATCTTCAATCACTCAATAAATATATATTTAAAAAACATCTCATATCTAAACAATGTGAGATTGAAGAAGTTCATGGAGTTTTAAGGTTTCTGAAATCTCGCATTGTGTAATATGGAGTTTTTTTTTTCAATTGTTTGAAAACATCATTTTAAACATACCTTTATTGAGTGATTGAAGATAAAGTTAATACATGTGTGACGTCGTCACAGGTCAACACATGCTTATGCAGTTATGTGTCTTAAGTATGTATTGTGCGTGTTTATTATTTTTAGAGAAAATTAATATATATTTTTTTATATTTTTATCCCCTATTATTCCATTTCCTTCATTTTAACTCAATTTGTGCCCATAATCTACTCGTCTTAGGTTGAAATGTTAGTGTGAAAATGAATAGTTCTTTAATGACTGCGTTTTGGGTAGGGTATGTGTTGGTGACAGTTTAAGAGTATGTCACCAATGAAGGCATCAAGTGCAGATGGTTTCCCGAATTTATTTTACCGAAAGTATTGGGCAACAGGTCTTGTATTGCATAGTCCCTACTCATAAATCTCTGTAACGTCCTTCATAAAAATATTGTTAATGTGATCTTTAATAGTCTTAGGGTTATTCTTGATGATTGTATTGATATAGCGCAAGGTTTTTTTTAATAAAACGTGATTATTATAAAGTAGTATTTGTAAATATTTTTTTAATCAATTAATAATATACACACACTTTGTAAATACAATTGCTGAAACTAAATATCTCTAAAGATGACAATATTTCCTTTAATCACTGAAAAGATTTGATGATTCAACGGAGCATGCTTTTTTTCACGGGAAGAATTTTTTTTTACAACATTATCATTATATATGAAGTACTACACACGTTTTATAATGTAGTGATCAATATTATGTGATTTTTCTTTTGACTAATCTAAGAATAATATAAAATTACGTGATTCTTTTATTTTAAAATTCAAGTTGAATTTTCTGCATCATGCCACATTAACATACCAGTTGTGCCATCGTCCATCTAGCATGTCAATTGGCGCAAATACACAAACTGGACACATTAACAGATTTTTAAGGGCATAGATAGTCGATGAAAGATTCTATCGATTGAATATTAATAAAAATATTTTTGCGTATTCAAGATTTAATTGAACGTAATTTTTATAAATAAATTTAATCATTATTGTTTTAAAAATAAGGTTTTATATATGCCTTAAGTATTAATTCTACTATTGTACTTGAAAAATATTATTAAAGAATTCATAAAAATGTGATTTTAATTTTAAGTGTTTGAATTTGATTTTAAAAGTTAGGTAAATTACACAAGATTCCATTGAATTTTAGGTGATTATCATTTATACCATTTCACTTTTAATTATTTTAAATATACATTAAACTTTCGTTTTAATTTAAGTTATACCACTAGATCATTAAATTTAAACGACGTGATGTCATAGACAAAATAACATCGTTTTGGTGCGACTATTGAAGCCCAAAACAACATCATTTTAGATATTGAACTTTAGGAGTGTGTCGATTTTGTCACTGAACTTTTTACAATTCGCTTTTAGGCACTGCACTTTTTTGATCATTATTGGTAGTGAATTGTAGCCTGTTACCTGTCACCATCAATGACAAGATTGGTATCAAGACGTTCACATTTCACCCATATTTCTTCTTCTAAGATTGGTTTCCCATGAAACTCACTCATAATTGACAAAATTAAACATAAAAAGTTATAATTTTAGGGGTTTGGGGGCCTTATCAGATTTAAGGAGTTTGAGATGTTTGCTAGAAAAGTTGAATAATGAGAAACATTATTTTAAGAAGACAAACAACTTACATCAAGACTAGTCTCATGGGACAACCATCATAGGAGATTAGAGTATTAGCACGTTGAACCTTCAGATGAATTTTCATTGATTTTGAGTGGATTTGAAAATCAATTTGATGAGGCACAAGAGGAGTGAAATGTGAACATAT